ATGCTTAACCTTCCCGCAATCTCCCCTTTTTTCAGGAACTGACAGTATCGTTGCTAGTGTCACGTCGACTCTGGATGAATCAACCTGTTTTCATTTGCTGTCTTGTGTGGGGCAACCTTCAGAGGGAACGCGAAAGGGAGCAGGACTCGCCAGCCACACACGTTCACCGTATGGTTGGGACACCCGCGACATGGGGATTTCTGTCTATCACCTTGGAGGGCTCTCAGTAGCTCGTAGCATAAATGGGTGGACTCATCAAGCCATTCTCATGCTCTTCTCATGAGGGGTTGAATGGAGGAGGCCTTTGTATATCATCAGAATCCAGCAACAAACAAGATTGTTCAACAGCGAGGTCGCTCAGGGATCATCATACTTCCCACCTTTTACAAAATGCCAGGAGTGCAGCAAGCATATTTAATATGTGTTGACCCCTGCCGCTATGATTTCCCGAGACGCAACTTCTGTTTCAACCGGAATCTTGCATTGGCTTGGTCGCTCGCTGTAATGAGGTTGACCCTTTTCCTGGCCTGGGAATGGAGCCTTTGGATCCCCCCCCCAGCAATTGCTCGCCGCTTGAGCCCCACGCCTCAAGTTGAGTCAATAACTTTCAGATTCTTTACGTGGGTTCGGGTATACCACTGAACTCCAGGTTTTGATTGCGCACGATTGGGACCCTTGTGGCTAGGTCTTGCCAACGGTCCCTTCAAGGATACATTTGGGCCATTGAGCAAATCACGTGTACCAGCTAATTTGGAGGATGCCCTTGTAAACTTTGTGGTTCATCCTGTAAGGAAGAATGTTGGGTAGACCTATTCTGTGTTGCAGACCTGGTTGCGTCAGTGCCAGGAGCGGTTCCAATCGTGGCTCGAGGATGGGCTGTGTTGGAGCAAAGGGGGAGTGTATCACCGGAATCGGAACCCTAAGCCACGGGTTGCTGGTTGCTTTCGGATTGAGGAACACATGACAAAAAACAGGGGCGCCATTCGCTGAATTTCCCTTAGCCGAGGACATCTTTGCCTTTCGCTGTTTGTTTTCAGCAGCACGTGTCTTCTGCCGAGTTTGTGGCCAGCTCACGGATCGAGGGTAAAACAAGCGAAAAACCATGACGACGCTTCTGTCCTCGAGGATCCCGTATTTCCGCTTTTCCAATTATTGTGAACATTTGCAGAGTTTGCTTTGTGTTTGTTCTTCCCACGGGAGTGACAAGCAGCCTGGCGGAACCACATCTGAGAATCTGAAGACAAGTTTTCAGAGTTTGCGGGGGAAGCATCACTATGTGGGTTTGGCCTTGTTTCGAGGGTGCCCCCTTTGTGGGGTTGTTTGACGGGCAACCACATGCTGGGGTTCTCCGATTTGCAGGCAAAACGCATATACTTCTTTGAACAGGTCTCGTGCACCACTAGGGCCCTCCCATGATAGCCCACTTGATTGATGGTGATGGAAGAGACCGACGTCCGCCCTGAAGGGAATTCTTTTCAACTTGGTCGCCAGGGCCGCCCTGAACAATTGCATAAACTTGACCGCTGCCCATGTATTAAGCGGTCTAGTTCTGCTACAATCAAGACTAGACACAGCCGCATGAACTTGAATTGCCGAATTTCGGAGGACCCTCCTGTTGAATCCGCCACGATTTTGGCTCCCCCCCCCCCTCTCTAGTGGTTTCACAATTAGGTTGCCTGAACCTGGATTGGTTTTCTCCAGCCGAGACAGATCCAAACTATTTGTCAAACAACCTAGAAATGGGCCCTTTGTGGGAGTGTGTGGAAGCTGGACAGGAGAGCAGTCGAACAAGGAAACACACCAAAAAATGGAAACCAAAAGGAGAAACCAATTCCCAGGAAGCGAAGACACCAACCACTTGGGGCTCCTTAGTTGGATCTGCCCATAGGAGTGGCTTGTGCCGGCACCAAAAGAAGAAGCGCCGGTTTCGAGCTCAGGCCGGGGTCAGCGGGTGGGGCGTGTGGCTTGTGCCTCCATTGGGACGTTTTGGGTGAGGGCCCCTGCAAGGCGAAGTCATAGGAATCGCGGACAGGCTGCACTTGTTGGCCTCGCGAAGCGGTTCAGCCTGTTTAACTAGCATAAACATGGCAAAGGGCCGCGGGTTTGGTTTTAAGACCACCCTTCGTCTTCGGGCTGATGTTTGCGTGTTGGAAATATATCTGGAACCACCACGTCCCCCCCCGATTGGACTTCCAAAATTGGGATCACCAGCCTTATGCCCTGGCTATCCCCACTCCCGGGTTCGTGCTCTGGAGGCGCCCTGGTTTTTGCGGCCTGGCTCCTGGAGTCTTGTCCCTTGCCCAAATGGCTGAACACCAATCTTGGTAGAGCCAATCGTCAGGTCAAAATCATCGCGTAGGTGAGTGGCAGCGGGGTGTCAGTCAACCAGACCTAAAGAACCTCGAAGGGAAAACACGAGGATGTTTGAAGATGAGCGGCTCAACCATGTTTGAACATGCGCGATTCGCCCTAGCTATTTCTTATTACCCAGGTTCCCCGGGTCAGCATGGTTTGCAGACAAGCACTTCCTGAAATGACTTTTACTGTGGTACCCTGCTCACCAACGAACATGGGTACAGGCCTCCCTCCCTTTCTGTGCACCAAACCATGTTTTTGGTGAGAGGGTACAGTGCTGGCTCAGTTTGCCATCCTGAATCCATCGGTTTTTGAGGAGGCAAGCGTCAAGCCAACCAGCGGCCAGAGGACGAGTGTTTCTTTTTGGGGGCTACACTTTCCGGATTTCTTTTGAATCTAAAACCAATCCACAGGAACACCCCTTGTGTGGAGTCCCCTTCTTTAGAGTCACATGTACAGCCACAGAGTGACTTGGCAGAGGGTGTGGGACAACTGCACCAGTCATATACAGGCATGAACAAACATTGGCAGCGATGGATATTGGTGTGGGAGGCTTGTGTAGATCTCGGGCCATGGCTTCTAAGTGCAGGGCTGTTGTGATTTTGGGTTCCAAAGGTGAAGCGTCTTTTAGGAAAATAGCAGAGGCTCTGGGGGCTCCAACTTGAGCTTCCAAGAAGGGTTCCAAAGGAAAGCCCGTGTCAGACCCCAAACGCCCTGTGGAGACACTCAAACCGCAGGTGTATCCGGACTGGGGACATCATTAGCGATCACTCATTACCTGAGCGATCGCTATGCCTATGTTTCGATGTAGCGAATACTTGGGGTTTGCTTGCCGATGGCTCAGGCGTTTTGGTGAGGTCAACCACTCAAGGGAGGCCAAATAGCTGCTGACATCTTGGTGCTATGCTCTATGATCATGACTTCATTTGACAAACATCGGCCAACATGCACTGGACAACCCCAATCTAGCTATTTCGGCATCCGCACCGCCTTAGTAATGTATGGAGGGGGGCGGCAAAACCCCAAGAAAGGGACCCTCCCCATACATGTTTCCTTTGTGGGCACATTTTTATTGCCGGTGGTGGGGATATTTCTGCATTCCCTCGTTCTCCCTTCAACCCGCCAGGTGTCAGCGCCGACATGGCGCTTGTGGTGCTATCACTCATATGCGCGCTGAAGTTTGTGTCGCAGGCAGGAGAAGGTGAGGGTCAGAGGAGGTCGATCACTTGTTTATGTGGGTGTCTGATAGAATTAGGTGGGGCCGAACTAGGTGGGAGCTTTCTTAACTTGAAATGACCGACCAAAAGGGGATTCCCCCAAAAACAGGCACACCTACAGGTGTTTCTTAGAATTAGGGCCTTTCCAGGTGGTTGGAGTCCCTTCAAACTTGACTTCCTGATTAGCGAACTCACCAGTTTCAAGGGAAGCCCTGTTTAGTGGGTCAACAAGAACATGTTGGGTAGATGAAATCGCGAGAGGCGGGTTTGAGACTCACTCCGCATGAAGGTTCCTTTCAAAGGGAGCCCGTTTGGGGAGAAATATCATGCTTCGCCTGGATCATGGATGTGGTGGCTGTCGGGTTGGACTGCCATGGAGAAAGTGGATACATTTGAGCACCGCTTAGATGAGATGTCTGCTGCCTGCTCAACAGGGACGGCCTGCACAAACCTTGATCATCACGGCTTGAAAGATGATTGGGCTTCACGCTCAGCTCGTTTCACATTTTGCAGGTGACTGCCAACAAAGCAGACTAGAATCCAGGAGAGTTCCGAGCATAGTCGGGTTTATCTCTGTGCATGTCCAGATCTGAATTATCGATTTCTGTGATACATCGCTTTTGTAGGGTGCACTATATCATGTTGGAAGAAAGCTGAGAGGAGGGTGTTCTCTTCGTGGCACATTGACAAGAACTTCGATCTTTTCCCTCTTTGCTCCGGCTGCCAGTCATTTGTGCCTGTCATAGTTGGATAAAATTAAAGTCCAGCGCTTAGGAAGGATGAACCCCATGGATGGTAGAAACATCTTACTTACAAGTAGGTGCAAGATTTTGTCCAGCCATTTTGAGGCCCTCGGCAGATGCTTTGGAGGGTCCGCGACAGATGTTGTCCACCAAGTAACATAGTATCGACTTCGGATTAGTCAATCGAATTGGTGGACCTGGGCGGGGGGGGTGTTGCCCCCCAAAAGTAAGGGGATTCCTTTTTAAGTGGGACAACTCCATAATAGTCAACGCTGGTTTTGTGAATCCTGGGCAGACCCCCGCCGGGTTTCTCAAGAGCAAAGCAGTTTTCCAACCCAGCCCAAGCCAAGGTACGGCAACAACTACGAGGTTCAGACATGAAAGCGTACCAGTATCAGTTTGGAAATAAACTTGTGTGTCAGTGCGGCTGGTGCATGCCCTTGTTAAGAGCAGACAGTCACTTGGATTATGAGTATTTCAACCAGACCAGAGCGGAGTCAATAATGTTGGTTTTGCAATTCATCACACCTTCCTCTTGTATTCCGACAACAGAATCCATGAATGTGATGACAAAAAAAGTTGTCGCCTGGTCACTCCTAGCTCCTCGTTCCCGCAGTTTGGCCCTTTGGCCGACCTTGGCCCAGTCACTGATCAGCCGATCAGCCCGAGTCGCAAGTCGCCTGCC